AAGTAAATCACTTTAAATTCACACGTTAGGCTGTGACTGATGCAACTTTCTCACACAGATGGAAATTTATTGGCATATTTATAATAGAGGAAGGATGGTTCAGTGGTAAGAGCACCACCCTCAGATTTGCGAGATGCTGGTTCAATTCCCTGCTCCACCACTGACTTCATGGGTGACCACAGGCAAGTCACTTAGCCTCTCTGTACCTCAGTTCCTTATCTGTAAAATGGGAATAATAGTACTGCCTCAAAGGGGTGTTTTGAGGTTAAATCCATTAAGGAGTGTGAGGTGCTCAGGTACTGTGGTGGCAGGGGCCATCTATCTTTGATAGATACAAGTATAATTATAAGAGTGTCCACAGACTGAGTTATACCTGTGAAACTACAGAGATATAATTATGTTGGTATATTTCCCTGTGTAGACAGGCCTAAAAAAACAACTCAGCTGGAGTTGAGGTGCTTTCTTTCTAACTATTTTTAGGAGTGTGATTTTTTTTTTTCAAATCTGAGATAGTTATACCAATACAGCCCGCAGCATGGAGGTGGTTATACTCATAAAAAGTTTTTCATACTGGTATAGCTTATTCCTCTTTCTGTATGGAAATAGCTATAAGTATCAAAGTAGCTTGTACTGATATAACTTTTGGTCCACGCTGAGGGGTTTGTACTGCTTTAACTATTGAGTTGGTATACCAGAATAATTAAAGCAGTACAACTTTTGTGTGTAGATGCATTTAGGAGCCTAACTTTAGGCATCTATTTTTGAAACTTTTGGCTTTAGTCTTTTTTATCAGGAATTTTTATAGGTAGATCGTACTGTATTTATTAAGTAGCCCTAATTCATGTTTAAATTGTTTTTACTGTCATTGTACGTCATGGGATAAATGGGTCTTTCTTTAGAATTAGCAAAAGCCACTTCAGCTAGGCCTGTTTACTTTTTCAAGTGCTTTTTTTCAAGGAAATTTGTTTGAATTAGGGGGATTCCTTGGTTTTTTTTAATCTTAAACTTTGCTCTTGAAAATTCAAAAGGCGGATTTTCAAAACCCCAGGGATAAGAAAATTATCTGTCTAACGACACCTGTGAAACTCAATATAAGATTTTATTATACCTTTGAAGAGATTTTGAGAGATTATTTAAAGTGAAGCTGCCAACCTCTGCTAAGTGTTTTCAAATACAATGAGGATGTAGGGTAAGCAGCAGCCTTGGATTCTGTTTATTTGATATAGATAGGAGGCAGTAATAGTTGGACAGGAATTGAAATAGGGCCTCACATATTCATGTAGGGTCCTGCAAAAACTAGGGACAGCCCTGATTCCTTAGTTATGCCTGAATATTCTGAGGGTTGCTTTTTTTTTTTTTTTTTTTTTTTTTTTTGAGGCAGCTCTGACGGCTTCAGAGATCCCGCCCCAATATCCTCAGGTTAGTCTGGTATCGTCAGTAACCCTCTCATTACAGAAAAATTGCTGGGTTTAGAGAAGTTGCACAACATATCAGCCATTTACTGGAACTTTATGACACTTTATCTTCAAAAGCTTGTTGGGATGGTGGGGCAGTTGAGTTCCAGAGTTCTTTGATTCTCAAATACATATGGTCTTGGGGTGATGAATTGTAGTCATAGAGGCGAAAGTATGGCCTTTCAAATTATCCACATTTCTGAAGAGGAAATGTATTTTATTTGTAGTGGATTAAACCAATTCCACACAGGTGTTCTTTTTAGTTGCCTCAGGTGCTGCATCTTCTCCCAGTGGAGAGACTGATTTATTTCTCTCAGTTGATAGCTTAACAATTGCTGGATACAAGACACAGATTATTCTCTCTTCAGACTGTCCATGAATGTAGGGATTTGATTTCTCAATCAGAGGAGTGTTTGTGGTCTGAATCTTTATCTCCAGATAGTAGTGTACTCAAATAACTGGAATGAAGCTATTTCATGGAAAGAAAACTGCAATGATGATATCCCTGTGTTGCCTTCATTTGGTACTAATGTGGACACTAATAATGAAAATTATATTGAATGGGACCTTTTATATGCATATTAAAAGCAGGAGAGAGACAACATGAGAAAAACACAAAGGCATGACAACTAGCTGGGGCTCGAACTAGCACACTAAGGGTATGTCTACACTACGAAATTAGGTCAAATTTATAGAAGTCGGTTTTTTAGAAATTGGTTTTATATATTTGAGTGTGTGTGTCCCCACAGAAAATGCTCTAAGTGCATTAACTCGGCGGAGTGCTTCCACAGTACCGAGGCTAGAGTCGACTTCCAGAGTGTTGCACTGTGGGTAGCTATCCCACAGTTCCCGCAGTCTCCGCTGCCCACTAGAATTCTGGGTTGAGATCCCAATGCCTGATGGGGCTAAAACATTGTCGCGGGTGGTTCTGGGTACATATCGTCAGGCCCCCGCTCCCTCCCTCCCTCCCTCCGTGAAAGCAAGGGCAGACAATCGTTTCGCACCTTTTTTCCTGAGTTGCCTGTGCAGAAGCCATACCACGGCAAGCATGGAGCCTGCTCAGGTAACCGTCACCGTATGTCTCCTGGGTGCTCGCAGACGTGGTACTGCATTGCTACACAGCAGCATCAACCCATTGGCTTGTGGCAGCAGACGGTACAGTATGACTGGTAGCTGTCATCGTCATGTCCGAGGTGCTCCTGGCCACGTTGGCCAGGAGTGCCTGGGCAGACATGGGTGCAGGGACTAAATCTGGAGTGACTTGACCAGGTCATTCTCTTTAGTCCTGCAGTCAGTCCTATTGAACCATCTTATGGTGAGCAGGCAGGCAATACGGATTGCTAGCAGTCCTACTGTACCATCTTCTACCAGGCAGGCAAGAGATGAGGATGGCTAGCAGTCCTACTGCACCATCTTCTGCCGAGCAGCCATGAGATGTGGATGGCTTGCAGTCCTTCTGCACTGTCTGCTGCCAGCCAAAGATGTAAAAGATAGATGGAGTTGATCAAAACAAGAAATAGACCAGATTTGCTTTGTACTCATTTGCTTCACCCCCTCCCCCGTCTAGGGGACTCATTCCTCTAGGTCACACTGCAGTCACTCACAGAGAAGGTGCAGCGAGGTAAATCCAGCCATGTATCAATCAGAGGCCAGACCAACCTGCTTGTTCCAGTAAGAACAATTACTTAGGTGCACCATTTCTTATTGGAACCCTCCGTGAAGTCCTGCCTGAAATACTCATTGATGTAAAGCCACCCCCTTTGTTGATTTTAATTCCCTATAAGCCAACCCTGTGAGCCATGTCGTCAGTCGCCCCTCCCTCCGTCAGAGCAATGGCAGACAATCGTTCCGCGCCTTTTTTCTGTGCGGACGCCATACTAAGGCAAGCATGGAGGCTGCTCAGCTCACTTTGGCAATTAGGAGCACATTAAACACCACACGCATTATCCAGCAGTATATGCAGCATCAGAACCTGGCAGAGCGATACCGGGTGAGGAGGTGACATCAGCGCGGTCACGTGAGTGATCAGGACATGGACACAGATTTCTCTGAAAGCATGGGCCCTGCCAATGCATGCATCATGGTGTTAATGGGGCAGGTTCATGCTGTGGAATGCCGATTCTGGGCTCGGGAAACAAGCACAGACTGGTGGGACCGCATAATGTTGCAGGTCTGGGACGATTCCCAGTGGCTGCGAAACTTTCGCATACGTAAGGGCACTTTCATGGAACTTTGTGACTTGCTTTCCCCTGCCCTGAAGCGTATGAATACCAAGATGAGAGCAGCCCTCACAGTCGAGAAACGAGTGGCGATAGCCCTGTGGAAGCTTGCAACGCCAGACAGCTACCGGTCAGTTGGGAATCAATTTGGAGTGGGCAAATCTACTGTGGGGGCTGCTGTGATGCAAGTAGCCCACGCAATCAAAGATCTGCTGATATCAAGGGTAGTGACTCTGGGAAATGTGCAGGTCATAGTGGATGGCTTTGCTGCAATGGAATTCCCTAACTGTGGTGGGGCCATAGACGGAACCCATATCCCTATCTTGGCACCGGAGCACCAAGCCGGTGAATACATAAACCGCAAGGGGTACTTTTCAATAGTGCTGCAAGCTCTGGTGGATCACAAGGGACATTTCATCAACATCAACGTGGGATGGCCGGGAAAATTACATGAAGCTCGCATCTTCAGGAACTCTGGTCTGTTTCAAAACCTGCAGGAAGGAACTTTATTCCCAGACCAGAAAATAACTGTTGGGGATGTTGAAATGCCTATAGTTATCCTTGGGGACCCAGCCTACCCCTTAATGCCATGGCTCGTGAAGCCGTACACAGGCAGCCTGGACAGTAGTCAGGAGCTGTTCAACTACAGGCTGAGAAAGTGCAGAATGGTGGTAGAATGTGCATTTGGACATTTAAAGGCGCGCTGGCGCAGTTTACTGACTCACTTAGACCTCAGCGAAACCAATATTTCCACTGTTATTACTGTTTGCTGTGTGCTCCACAATATCTGTGAGAGTAAGGGGGAGACGTTTATGGCGGGGTGGGAGGTTGAGGCAAATCGCCTGGCTGCTGGTTACGCACAGCCAGACACGGTTAGAAGAGCACAGGAGGGCGCGGTTAGAAGAGCACAGGAGGGCGCGGTACGCATCAGAGAAGCTTTGAAAACCAATTTCATGACTGGCCAGGCTACGGTGTGAAAGTTCTGTTTGTTTCTCCTTGATGAAACCCCCCACCCCTTGGTTCACTCTACTTCCCTGTAAGCTAACCACCCTCCCCTCCTCCCTTCGATCACCGCTTGCAGAGGCAATAAAGTCATTGTTGCTTCACATTCATGTATTCTTTATTCATTCATCACACAAATAGGGGGATGACTACAAAGGTAGCCCAGGAGGGGTGGTGGAGGAGGGAAGGAAAATGCCACACAGCACTTTAAAAGTTTACAACTTTAAAATTTATTGAATGCCAGCCTTCTGTTTTTTGGGCAATCCTCTGTGGTGGAGTGGCTGGTTGGCCGGAGGCCCCCCCCCCCACCGTGTTCTTGGGCATCTGAGTGTGGAGGCTATGGAACTTGGGGAGGAGGGCGGTTGGTTACACAGGGGCTGTAGTGGCAGTCTGTGCTTCAGCTGCCTTTGCTGCAGCTCAACCCATACACTGGAGCACACTGATTTGATCCTCCAGCAGCCTCAGCATTGAATCCTGCCTCCTCTCATCACGCTGCCACCACATTTGAGCTTCAGCCCTGTCTTCAGCCCGCCACTTACTCTCTTCAGTCCGCCACTTACTCTCTTCAGCCCGCCACCTCTCCTCCCGGTCATTTTGTGCTTTCCTGCACTCTGACATTATTTGCCTCCACGCATTCGTCTGTGCTCTGTCAGCGTGGGAGGACAGCATGAGCTCAGAGAACATTTCATCATGAGTGCGTTTTTTTTTCTTTCTAATCTTCACTAGCCTCTGGGAAGGAGAAGATCCTGTGATCATTGAAACACATGCAGCTGGTGGAGAAAAAAAAAGGGACAGCGGTATTTAAAAAGACACATTTTATAAAACAGTGGCTACACTCTTTCAGGGTAAACCTTGCTGTTAACATTACATACATAGCACATGTGCTTTCCTTACAAGGTCGCATTTTGCCTCCCCCCACCGCGTGGCTACCCCCTCAACCCTCCCACCTCCCCGTGGCTAACAGTGGGGAACATTTCTGTTCAGCCACAGGCAAACAGCCCAGCAGGAACGGGCACCTCTGAGTGTCCCCTGAAGAAAAGCACCCTATTTCAACCAGGTGACCATGAATGATATCTCACTCTCCTGAGGATAACACAGAGAGATAAAGAACGGATGTTGTTTGAACACCAGCAAACATACACTGCAATGCTTTATTGTACAATGATTCCCGAGTACGTGTTACTGGCCTGGAGTGGTAAAGTGTCCTACTATGGAGGACGCAATAAGGCTGCCCTCCCCAGAAACCTTTTGCAAAGGCTTTGAGAGTACATCCAGGAGAGCCGCGAATGCCAGGGCAAATTAATCCTTTCACATGCTTGCTTTTAAATCATTTATAGTATTTTAAAAGGTACACTCACCGGAGGTCCCTTCTCCGCCTGCTGGGTCCAGGAAGCAGCCTTGGGTGGGTTCAGGGGGTACTGGCTCCAGGTCCAGGGTGAGAAACAGTTCCTGGCTGTCGGGAAAACCAGTTTCTCCGCTTGCTTGCTGTGAGCTATCTACAACCTCATCATCATCATCATCTTCTTCATCCCCAAAACCTGCTTCCATATTGCCTCCATCTCCATTGAAGGAGTCAAACAACACGGCTGGGGTAGTGGTGGCTGAACCCCCTAAAATGGCATGCAGCTCATCATAGAAGCGGCATGTTTGGGGCTCTGACCCGGAGCGGCCATTTGCCTCTCTGGTTTTCTGGTTGGCTTGCCTCAGCTCCTTAAGTTTCATGCGGCACTGCTTCGGGTCTCTGTTATGGCCTCTGTCCTTCATGCCCTGGGAGATTTTGACAAAGGTTTTGGCATTTCGAAAACTGGAACGGAGTTCTGATAGCACGGGTTCCTCTCCCCATACAGTGATCAGATCCCGTACCTCCCGTTCGGTCCATGCTGGAGCTCTTTTGCGATTCTGGGACTCCATCATGGTCACCTCTGCTGATGAGCTCTGCATGGTCACCTGCAGCTTGCCACGCTGGCGAAACAGGAAATGAGATTCAAAAGTTCGCGGTTCTTTTCCTGTCTACCTGGCCAGTGCATCTGAGTTGAGAGTGCTGTCCAGAGTGGTCACAATGGAGCACTCTGGGATAGCTCCTGGAGGCCAATACCGTCGAATTGTGTCCACAGTACCCCAAATTCGACCCGGCAACGTCAATTTAAGCGCTAATCCCCTTGTCAGAGGTGGAGTAAGGAAATCGATTTTAAGAGCTCTTTAAGTCGAAATAAAAGGCTTCATCGTGTGGACGGGTGCAGGTTTACATCGATTTAACGCTGCTAAATTCGACCTAAAGTCCTAGTGTAGACCAGGGCTAGAACTTTTTCCTTGACTACTAGGTTATAAACCTATTTTTTGAAGTTGTGTGTTACTGATTTGTTCACTATTTTATAAATGTAAACACAGCCAAACCTGTCATAAGCAGTCAATGGGATTGACAAAATGTTGTTACTTAAACAGAGGTGTTCAGTGCTTAATTTTTAATGAAAGAGGTGTCAGGGCTCAAGCAATTAGGTGCTGGGGCTCAAGCAAAATTTTTACTTTCATAACTGATGTGGCAAGTCCAGAGGTGCCGGGGCTGTGAACTGCCAAGCCTAGAGGTGCTTGGGCTAAGCCTTGGCACAAATTAAGCAGTGGAGGTGTACTTCTAATTAAGATGGAGGAACCTTTTACTCCACCTATACAATACATTTGGGATATAATCTGGGTTGGTTCCTGCGGACATGAGGTTGCTTGATAAAGGCATTCTTTTGTATAGATTTCACTCTAATCTTATTAGAATACTGCATACATCTTGTTTTTCTTACTGCATTTTAGGTTTTCGAGCTCACGTTGTGGCTACTGTCTACCTACAAAATATACACTATTATTTGGATAAACATTTGGATACTTATACTTCCTAGCTCACGATGCCTTTCAAAAGCGGATTAGAATTAACTGAGTTGCAGAATATGACTGTCCCTGAGGATGATAACATCAGCAATGATTCAAATGATTTTACAGAGGTAGAAAATGGCCAGATAAATAGGTGAGTATTTTTCCACTGATGCTGACTATCCTGTGAAACACACTGTTTAAAAACAGCATTCTAATTTTCAGTATCTCTCTTGCATTATTCATTACCGAGTCATGCTCCATTTGAAGATGTAATTTGAATTTCTTATGTGACATCTGTTGGGCATAGGTTGCAACAGCAGATAAAGCAAACAGAGTAGCAATTTATTCATCGTTTTAAATTTTTTAAATGAGTCTAATAAAACGCATAAAATGTTAAAATTTCAAAATATCTACATATACAATACAAAAAATGAAATAATAACATTAGACCGACAGAAACATTTTGGGCAAAGATATAGGATTTTCAATAAAGGTTGTTCCACAATCTGATGTATGTAACCACAATGGCCACAAAAATGTTCTTTAGGCTTCTGTGAATTTATAACTCATGCTGTTGACAAGAAATGTAGATCATATCTTCCTGTCTATGTTTAAAACTCTCTGCAAATGAGAATGTATATCAAACCTTTGCTCCTAAGTCTAATAGAAAATGCACTTTTAGAAAAAGTGACCGATTTGTAACTAATGTTCAAATTTAAATGTGAAAAAAAATATTCTCTGCTCAGCAATTAAAGTAAAATGCAATTATTACATAATTACTTAAAAATTATTATAGCATTTTTTTATAAACTTTTTGTTAATTTAGTAAAATAGAACAATATTGTTCCCGTCATAATAAACCCTTCCAAGCTTATTGCAAGGTAAAGAGTTAAATTTTCAGGTTCTGAATAGCCTTCATATTTATGGTAAGGATCTGCTGTTGGACTAGAGTGGCAGGCTGTTTCTGTGGGGTTTTTGAGCTGGAAACAAGAAGTTACCCTCTTCCTCTGAAACTTCATTCAAATTTTGCAGAACAAAGGTGGTGTGAGAGAAAGAAAAGGAGCAGTTGAAGGTTCCCAAATTTCCCAAGTAACTAGGTTAGTGTGGACCCCTGTGCCCACATACCGTCCTGTTGACTGTAATGGGACTCTGCTGGAGTACTTTCAGGTGTCCACTTTCATGGATCTACTTACAGGATCTGGACTAAAAACTGCCTTATTCTGCCACCCTACTGACAGACAATAGGTAGCAAATGTTTGCAGGAACAGGCACTTAGAGGCTGATTTTACTGCTTAGATCTGCATGGGGAGGAGATTGACCCCGGTGTGAAAAGGGTGTCAGCTGCCTCTGTGGAAGAGTTTTTTCTTTCCCCATACCTTGCCAAAAGCCTTCCCAGTGCTGAGATCAATGCAGGAGGAGGGATCAGGCTGGGGGAAGAGTGGGCAGGCTAGTGGGGGATGCACACTGTCAGCCAGCCCTTCCTGTGAAGCTCAGGGTGCAAAGACAATGCAGTCCTGGGTGTCTTATCTTTCTGTGCCATCCACCACCACAGTGGATATACCCCTTTAAGGGGAAGTGCTTGGGGCAGCAGCTGCCAGCTGTGAGAGCTCTGTCAGTGTGACTTCTGCAGGTGCAGTCATGCGAGATACCAGTGATCCAGAGTCTTCACACAGAAGTCCCTGGCCTCCTACTTATTCCCTGGGGTTCTTGGGCCCACCGCTGTTCCACAATGTAGTGCAAACTCCTCTACCAATGGTGGGGGAAGTCTCTGTGAAGAGAATCTTATGCATGTTTTGAACAGCAGTAGTAGTGAGAGCTGACATTGACCATCAAAGCATATGCTGCAGCTGGAAGGACAGCAGAGCTCAGGTTGGGGATGGAGGTGGGAAGGAGGAGTTCAAATGGTGCAGGGTGCCTGAGGGGAAAAAAGAATAGTTGGGTCAGAGTGGGGGCAAATTAACAAAAAAAAAAATGTAATTAAGAACAGAAAAGATTTCCCCTACTTTTCTCAGCCTTCTTCTGCCTCTCATAGTAGATTGAAGCATTCCAGAAACCAGCTCACCGGGCGTGGGGGCGGGTTCCAAAATGAAAAATCTTTGAGCCATGGCTCAGAGGGGTAGCCGTGTTAGTCAGTATCCACAAAAACAATGAGAAGTCCAGTGGCACCTTAAAGACTAACAGATTTATCTGGAAATAAGCTTGCATGGGTAAAAAACCCACTTCTTCAGATGCATGGAGATGCATGGCTGTAAGCTCGGCCAGTGGATGCATTCGTAGACAGGTATCCAGAGAGGGCCTTAACAGGAGACGGATGCTACTGTATCGCTACAGTGCTTGCATCCCTCACCTCTTCTAAGAGCATGAGTTTCCAAGAGTTCCACTCTTAACAAATGTTGGCCTACCACATTGACACTAAAACCCCAGCCTGCTCCTGCTGGAGTCAGTGGCAAAACTCCCTCTGACTTCAGTGGAAGCGGGATTGGGCCCCACCCTATAAGGGTGGTTTATTAGTTTCTATTTATATAAATGACATATAGATAGCATTCCATTCAGCAATGCTGTTTTCATGCTTCTTGATAGAGGAGTCATTCCCCTTCTGTTTCATAGAATCATAGAATATCAGGGTTGGAAGGGACCTCAGAAGGTCATCTAGTCCAACCCCCTGCTTAAAGCAGGACCAATCCCCAACTAAATCATCCCAGCCAGGGCTTTGTCAAGCCTGACCTTAAAAATTTCTAAGGAAGGAGATTCCACCAACTCCCTAGGTAACGCATTCCAGTGTTTCACCGCCCTCCTAGTGAAAAAGTTTTTCCTAATATCCAACCTAAATCTCCCCCACTGCAACTTGAGACCATTACTCCTCGTTCGGTCATCTGCTACCACTGAGAACAGTCTAGATCCATCCTCTTTAGAACCCCCTTTCAGGTAGTTGAAAGCAGCTATCAAATCCCCCCTCATTCTTCTCTTCCGCAGACTAAACAATCCCAGTTCCCTGAGCCTCTCCTCATAAGTCATGTGTTCCAGTCCCCTAATCATTTTTGTTGCCCTCCGCTGGACGCTTTCCAATTTTTCCACATCCTTCTTGTAGTGTGGGGCCCAAAACTGGACATACTACTCCAGATGAGGCCTCACCAATGTCGAATAGAGGGGAACGATCACGTCCCTCGATCTGCTGACAATGCCCCTACTTATACATTCCAAAATGCCATTGGCCTTCTTGGCAACAAGGGCACACTGTTGACGCATATCCAGCTTCTTGTCCACTGTAACCCCTAGGTCCTTTTCTGCAGAACTCCTGCCGAGCCATTCGGTCCCTAGTCTGTAGCGGTGCATGGGATTCTTCTGTCCTAAGTGCAGGACTCTGAGCTTGTCCTTGTTGAACCTCATCAGATTTCTTTTGGCCTAATCCTCCAATTTGTCTAGGGCCCTCTGTATCCTATTCCGACCTTCCAGCATATCTACCTCTCCTCCCAGTTTAGTGTCATCTGCAAACTTGCTGAGGGTGCAATCCACACCATCCTCCAGATCATTAATGAAGATATTGAACAAAACCGGCCCGAGGACCGACCCTTGGGGCACTCCACTTGATGCCAGCTGCCAACTAGACATGGAGCCATTGATCACTACCTGTTGAGCCCGACAATCTAGCCAGCTTTCTATCCATCTTATCGTCTATTTGTCCAGCCCATACTTCTTTAACTTACTGGCAAGAATACTGTGGGAGACCGTGTCAAAAGCTTTGCTAAAGTCACGGAACAACATGTCCACTGCTTTCCCCTCCTCCACAGAGCCAGTTATCTCGTCATAGAAGGCAATTAGATTAGTCAGGCATGACTTTCCCTTGGTGAATCCATGCTGACTGTTCCTGATCACTTTCCTCTCCTCTGAGTGCTTCAGAATTGATTCCTTGAGGACCTGCTCCATGATTTTTCCAGGGACTGAGGTAAGGCTGTTTGTCCCTTCCAATCACCATTATGACTCATGCATTTCTCCTGTATACTAGCAGGTTGATAGCTATATCTGGTGCCACCTTTGGTGCATCTCACATGTGACCTAGGGCTAAGTGAATCTCTAAAGCCCTCGGAAGTCAGTAGGTGTTTTTCCATTGACTTTAACAGGCTTTGGATCAGACCTATCATTTTCCACAATTTTTTTGTTTTTGGTTTTTTTGGTTGTTTTGGCTTGTTGGTTTTTCACCCTACATTTCACATTAAGCCTGAGTTACTTACAGCTCTTTGTGGGGCATATGTTTTCATGAGGGT